ACACAACAACTCGTCAAAGAGACAAGTGAAGCCGATCCTTTGACCAAACGTGTGCTAAACAATTGTGGTCTCTTCCCTTCTGCCCTGGGCTATTCACATTTCCTATATCCTCCTTTCACTGTTACAATTTTTACTTTGCTTATTTCGATGTAGTCTGGTGTACCCTTTTGTGGGGCACTCATGTGAACCCTTCACACTCCACGCTGTCGTTCCCACCTCCTTCGCACTTGTGCTGGGAATATTGGTCAGTGTCTGTCATATTGTTAAGCAGTCCTCTTTCTCTAGTTTTTATCACAGTCTCCCTCTTGCCCCGTAAGATCCGTCTGCTCCCTCTCTCTGGTTCACCTTTATTACTTTATATTCGATTATTCCGCGAAAATATTTGAGTGTATAAAGTGTATAAATAAAATTACTTTTAGAAAATTAATTATATAGCTCAATCACTCTATTCAAGCACGAAACTAGGAATGAATCCACAGTATGTACAGCTGCAGCTTAGTTTGCAGTTGAGAAAAAACTGCTCTCGATTTGACATAAATTTGGTTTAGTCAATCAGGCCACTTTCCGCAGAAATCTTGAAGAGCAAACCCTTCTGGTATCGTTTTTTTAACCAAAGAAGCCCTTTTAACGTATGCACCTCTACTCAAATGAACTGAATGCCAGCCAGCAAGGTCCTATGAATAGGCCGCCCATGTTTGTAATACCCTTTGCCTTTCATATTTGACAAAATGATTGATGATTTTGTGACATAAACATCTCTCACTCGCACATGCCCATAAGTGATGCCATTTTTACAAAAATCCAGGTGAATCTGCTCAGTTTCTTCGATTCTGGCCTGATCGTAGAAGAGTTTCGCCTGCGGATGATGGAGCAGGCACCACCCGAATCCTCCCTTGAACGATTGAGCCAACGTTCGGCCAAAATACAATCGAACGGGAGGGACTCGGACCCTCTCAGCTTCATCATTACTCATTTTTTCAACTCACAAAATGCCTCTCAAGAAAGAAACGACATAAGTAATTGCCTGAAACCAGAAAAGCATTTGCTTACTGACAGAAGGTGGGTTTTGCAAAACTTTATTGTTTCATAATCGTACACTTAACACGGAAGATTTAATTTGGTCCTTTTTAAAACTATACGTCTCTTGTCTGAGAGCAGCGGCACCCTACGACCTTCCGCCAACCCGGTCCCTGACGGGATCAAAAACACTTTCAGACAAAAAGCTGATGCTTGAATGCGCTTAGGAAGGTGTCAGAACATGAATGTCTTGTGGGATCCTCCGACTTATTCGCCGAAGGCCGGTGGCGAAAAAGTGTCATTTTTCAAAAAGGTCGACTGAGCTTGCCTCATCATCCCTTGCAGCTTCACTTGGACGCACCAAACTCACCGTAAACGAGATTCGGAAGATGTACCGGGCACTAAAGTGTGACTGCAGCAGCAGTTATTAGTGAAGCCCTGACTGGGTCCGGTTTTGCGTTGTCAGTGCGTCGTCTGTCGCATTCACAGACTTTTCGCCAATGCCAGCATGAACGTGTGTAAATGTGAAAGGTGAAGGGGCATGCCGTCTCGAGATAAGAAAGGAGCCAGAGTAGAACTAAACCATGTCTGGCCCCTCGATGTTTGTCTATTCATGTGGTTCCGGTCGCACAGACTAAAATATACTAAGC